ATAGTCCAAAACATCTTTGTAGCATATGGTTTACCCCTTTCTGACAGAATGGTGATATTGTGGATCCTGTCCAAGGCAAAGAAGTCTGAGCTGAGTAATGTCTAACGGTAAAATTTTCGGAAGTGCCTACGTGAACTGTAGACCAAGTCTTAGGCACTTCTGAAACTTTTAACCTATCTGTATTCCAATTGTCTGCTAGGTACAAATCGGATCTCTGGGTAATTTATCATGAACCTTAGTGACTTCCATATTCCAGCTTCAACACCCCACAACAGGGACTGAGCTTTTGACACATTTCAGAGTGGTGCAATCAGCCAATGTTACAAGTAGGGGAACACATGTACTGCCAGGCTGTGCATGTAGGACACAACTACCTCTCCAGCCATTTAGTGAAAACATTTGGCACCAATGGTATCCTCAAAGGTAACATATGAAACCAGTACAGCAAATCTTCCAGTATTTGAGGAGCACCCCCAGGTGCATGAAGGTGTCCACCTAGGGATACATATGGCCTTCCTCTTTAAATAAATAACGCAAGCAAGCAAGCAGCATGATGGCTCAGTGTGACTATCTTGAGCTTTTCTTTGATCAGATATTCATTCATTTCTGGAATGAGACTTCATCTTGTCTGGTAAGACAGGCTTGATGACTTTCTGTGCCAGAAGGGAGTGAATTGCCTGCAGCATCTGTTTCTGTTACTGAGAAACATGGGAGCATTTTCATGAGTGGGGCAACCTTTTGATCTTGTACCCTGCTGTCCACCTCGAAGAATACTCAGGAGCTGTGTTTGAGGAGACCAGCTGCCACTGCCGTTTTTAAAAGGTCCCCCAGGTCTGCCTCCAGCAGGCAGGGCACTGGTAATGGCAAGCTGGCGAAGCTATGGAATCCCCAAATACGCTATATTTGCAAGTACCAACATTAGCGGTGTCAGAGGCCTGAGTACTAGAGACACTGGTGGTGAAGCCAAAGCTTTTCTTGTGTTGGAAGCGCTGACTCAGAATGTGTAAACTTGCTGCACTGAGATCATAGCCCTGCTGACCTCATGGAAGACGAGTGACTCAAAGTTGACACTAAGGGCTTCATGGCATCGTTGCAGAGGACTAAGAATGACTGCATGTCACTTACTATAGAGTGATACTGGGAACGGATATCATATCTCTCCTCCTTTGTATTCACTGCTTTGAAGCAGTCAGGAAACCTCAATACAAGCTGCTTTGAGTCAGGAGTACCTCAGGGAGCTGCCAGCCCTCTTGGTGCCTGCCTTCTGTATATGTGATGAGGTAGAGGTCAGTGTGACACTGCCCCCATATTCTTCAGAGATTTTATTATATGAGGACATAATCAATGTATTTTATGCAATATACGCCATGTGAGGTGTCATTGGAAAGGGTATGATTTAATGAATATGATTATCCTATTTGTATGCATGTATCATTTTTGTATCTGAAGTTGTGAATATTGACTGTGTATCTGTTACAAATGTGTTTACATATGGGGAACACCCACTAGACAAAAGTCTCACAGTCTAGATGGCTGGCTAGGAAAGTCCCATTCAAATTAATGAACCATTAGGGAGAACAATAGCCCATAGAAGCAGTTTATTTCCCACCTGGGGGCCTTCCTGAGGATGCTACAAACAGGCTCCGACTGATGTCTGCTGTAACACTACAGGGACATGTGACCAGGTCACCTGGTGCTGGACTCCATCTTGGAATACCAGTGTTTTTCCATTGACTGGTGTGGGAACCAAGCTTTGAGACAAAGGATTCCTGTCATATACAAAAGATATATAAGGCAGGGGAATGACCTCCTCATGGTTCTTCACTGACTCCCCGCCCAAGAAGACTCCTGGAAACACCTGAGGAACAAAGATTGAACTGGGGGGTGGGGAAGAGAAGTGCTGGATCCAGGCTAAAGGGATTTTTAGCCTGTGAATGGAACTGGGGTTTCTAAGCTGCAAGCCTGCGCAGCTTGCCCCTTAAGAGCCTGGAGCCTGCTTTATAATAATTTAGGGTGAGAATTTGCTATTCATATCCAACCTCTTTAGTATATTAAGCTTAGTTTGTGTTCTTTCTTTATTTGCTAGGTAATCTGCTCTGATCTGTTTGCTATCCCCTATAATCCCTTAAAATCGATCTTTTGTAGTTAATAAACTTGTTTTTGCTTTGTTCAAAAACAGTGTGTGGGAGTCATAACTCAGGGCAAAAGGCTGTTGTATATTTTCTCTCCACATTGAGGGAGGGGGGTGAACTTCATGAGCTTATGCTGTGCTGCACAATATAAACCCAGAAAGGTGTGTGTACCTGAGCAGCTGGGAAGTGCCTTAGGTGAAGCCTTCCCATCCACAGCTGATCACAGCATCCGTATGTAACTGCAGCTGGGTGTGTCCCTACCTGTGTGTGTGCTGGTAAAAACCCGTCACAGTTAGGGCTCTATGTTCCCAAATGTTGAGTGCCCACTTGGCAAATGTTTGAAGCACCTGAGCAACCTTCTTTCCTCCCTCAATGCCATGCCTGAAATAAACAGACCATAGATGCCTGGGCACTGAGGGAAGTGCTGGATGTTGAACCAAATAATTGATGAGCACCAAACAAGGCACTGAACCAGGATAGGTGTCTCACTGTAAGGTGTTCAGGTGCCTATGATATTATGGTGTCAGTGTGCCGAGGACAACAGCAATGGTAGAGCTCTGTGAACCTAGTAAAAACACCAAAGTGCTGGCAAAAAAAGAAGAGATTCCAAAACGCCCTCCCCCCGCACCTTCAGCCGGGGGAGGGGAAAGTGGTGTGTGCCAAAATGCCTAGGAACAGGCATCAAAATGCTGCACAGGTGTACCCAAGTTCCCAAGCTAAATTTTGTAGGGCTTCGACTGTACCAGACCAGCCTGGGAGTTAAGTAATGGTGAAGGATATTCAGTCAGTGTTCCTGGAATCCTGAATAGCTGAAGACAGAAAAGCCAGTCCTTTGAGGGAAATGCTTTCTTCTTGATAGGGTCAGTAAATGAAACTGACTGGAACATTTTAGGGCAGTATTTACAGTGGGCAGCTGCCAGTAAGGGTTCTGGCTTACTACTGCTACTTCTACCCCTCAAGGCTAAAAAAGCCTTTATGTGTCTAGAGAATTCCATCAGTGCTGTGCTAAGGAGATAAAACTCAGGCCTAAGGATCCAGTACAGGTTATATCTTTAACATAGTATCTTTAAATGAGAAGTCTAGTAATTCTACAAAGTTCTTATGTATCTGGTAATGCCCCCTCAAAAGCAATTCATGCTTTTTGAAAGCTAGTACAATTATACATTATTTTAATGTTACTTTTTCTTCTGTTGTATAAAGCTCTCATCCATTTAGAATGTAATCAATCCAGAGCAAGAACCATGTATTTTTACCTGACTGAAATGCCTAGCACTTTTGGAGCTATATAAAAATAACCATCACCACAAATCTTACACCGAGAGAACTTGACATAAATATCATTCAGAACATTTCCTGGGCAAACCACATATGGTTTGAACAGCTCTAGAATAAACATGTGGTATCAAGAACTTTTCATACTTACGGACTGCCGCAAGGCAATCATGAACAGCATCTATGCTCACCATCTAAAGCACAGGAAGATGGCAAGGTGCCCAAATAACTCAGTAAGGCAATGTTGTAGTGAGAGATTTGCAATAGTTGATGTTTTTTCTTAAAGCCCTGGCTCCTGCAGATGTGATTAGGTGAGAATCTCAGCTTTCATTTAAACAAAAACAGTTTCTAGCCCACATGGTGGTGGAGAAAACCTTGAAACTGTATTCTAAGTACACCCTAAAGGCTCAAAACCAGATAAAAAGAATCAATTTTTTCAAGTCTCATTTAAAAAAAAATCTCAGTTTTTAAGGCAATCTTGATGGTTTGGGGCCTGACTCATGATTTTTGAACACTTCGGGTTGGCAACGCTGCGTTATGTCATTTCTGGAGAGCTTAATGTTTGTCTCATCCTCAGCATAGAATATACTTTAAAGGTTTCAAAATAAATAGTTTAATGATGTCCCATGTTAACTTATGAAAGTAAGGAAATCACTGTCTTCTTTTTCACTGAACCATGGTGAAAAACGTCACTGTTTTATTCAGCATTATAGTTACATAACATTTGTCTGTTTCTATTACTAGAAAGAATTTATTAAAATAATCCTGAAAAGACATCTTTTCTCCCTCCAATGATTTCAAAACTCTGCCTTTTAATGCCAATTTCACACAAATCATCAAATGGATTTGATCTGTAGTAGTCAGTTATAGCAATTGTCAAGGCACAAGCTCAGCTCTGCACATCAGCTGTTGCTTGCAGTAAAACGAGATATGCCAATTATGTCCTCTTAGTTAAAAATGCATAATCCCTTTATTTTATATTGCAACAGGAGAAGTTAACATTACATATACAGACTACGAAAGGTAAAGGATTTACTTCTGATATGATTTGTAGATTTAAATTCAAAACCTATTGTATATTTTATGTAGCAGATGAAAGTAACCTTAGTATTTCCTTTCTAACAGTATATTTAATAGTTGGGAATAAACAATATAAAGTAAGCCTTAAAAGTTTGTTTTAATCATTTTCAATTGTTGTCTATTGTCAGATGAAAAAGGTAACGTACAGTAGCCATCCCTTTTGATTATGTTGCAACACTGATCATGTGCCTTGATAAAGGAACAACAGTTCATTAAATAAGGATGATGACATAACATGTAGGGAAGACTTTGGATTGTCTATTTAAAATGTCAACGTAATAGGCAATTAATAATAAAACTTCATTTTAAGTGCACTTCCACATGCTTTTTGTTTATAATATAGCAACTTCCTATCCTTTTTTCAACAAACTTCACTCTCTAGTCTAAAGCTGTTTGGCTGAAAATGCACTTTCCCCAGTAAACTTTTTTTTTTAAACAATGTAACTAAAACTCCTACCCTTTCATAGACTAAGAAATATGTTTTGCTAATTAAAACACAATATATTACAAGACATGTGAAGACAACACATAGTGAAATGAGTTTTAATTGTTGTGCTGTGACTAAAGTAAAGTTCTCAAGGCTGCAGTTTAACATTCCAAGTTCTCCCTTCCATCTTTATTGATTAAGATTTTGAACAGAAACTCTTTGGGGGCTAGAACAGCAGTAATTGCATCACACTGTTTTCCAAGACTTCAAGTTTCAAAAGCAAACTCTTCAAAAAAGTACAGTTCCTGATTTGATTAGATACAGGGACAAAAATATAGCACATACTTGAAGGTTACATGGTCTACAAATGATGGCAATATTTTCCTTGGGAGAGTACAGTTTGTTTTCTTGTAAATACTCAAAAAGGCTCAACTTCAAGCAGTAATAAACACAAGCAAAAGTGATTTAACCCTTAAAATAAATATTCAGGAAAACCTCTCTGTACATACAAGTGAAAGAATATGTAATACTTTCACGCTAAAAGAAAAAATAAAGAATTTGTTCATATAAGCAGCTGAAATCTGCTGTTCCAGCCCAGTGTCCCCAGTAAAGAAGGGAGGCACAAACACAGGTGACTACTGTAGCTCACTATCTTATGGCCTTTTTTGGACAGGGACATCACCACCACCAATTTTAATCCCTTTTGTTATATTTATTTATTGATTACAGCATGCCAAATCCTTTGGCATATGTGATGGCCTTCAACAATCTCTCTTTAAGCTTTTCTTTGCTTGAGTATTCCGGAAGCAAAAGGACATTAAAGCATGTGTGAGATGTAGGTAATCTAAGAAAAAACAGAAAAGGAAGAATTCAGTCATTGGAATGCACAGCGCACGCATATAAGCATCATCATCTTTGAGAAATACCATGCTATTTCATCTGCTTACATATGCAAGAACAATACTCCAGTTTTGCTTTAAAATTTATACCCGTTGTTTTCTTGTAACCTTGAGGTCACAGCACTATAAAATATTATTAAAATGCTATTAAAAATCTTTAATGTTAAGATTCGGCTGCTGGTATTTTCACTTTGCAGAATTCGTCTTAATTTTTAGGAAGTCAAAATAAAAATTTTACCAAACAAAAGGTCAATATTTTACCTCTCTGTGTCTGGGCCATTTTTGGCTATAATCATCTTTAATTTTCCAAGTCCTCCCACAGGTGCTCTGTCCGTGCCTGTTGTAAACTGCAAAAATAGTCTTTTCTGCTCATCTGTAAATGAATGGACTATTTCCCAGAATTCCCTATTGAGGGGAAATTAAAAACAAAAAGTTGAGAAAGCAAGGGAAAAATATTGTTAAGAATATTTGATACAAACAAGACCTCCCCCTACTTGTATGCAACTTTCACAACTGCCAGAATTATGCAATTTGCAGTTGTTAATTGACACATTATCAAATATGGCACCATATTTGATCCTCTAACACATCAGCATACAAACCGAGCATACAGGAGTTGAACAAAATTGCATTCAAACATTTGCTAACCACTGAAGTTTTGAAGCTACATCTGAAGTATTTCAAAATCCTTGAAGGTTCAAGTGTTAACTTTTTAAAACTATTTCAGACTATTCTAAAATTAGCAAATAATTTGCAGATGCTGTCCATTTGTTTTCTATATTGTTCGTATTTTCTATATTTTTCAATTATCCTTATTGCAATGCATTGTCTATTCTCTGATAATCTTGTTTCTCTCTTCTTCGTATCGTATTACCAAACATATCAATATTAGTTTGACTAAATAGTTCAAGTCACATGTCAATTACCAACTGTGTGTTAAGATCAAAACGGAGGTGAAAATAAAGATCAGAAAAGGTGGCTTCTACAATATTAGAGGAATAAAAACAGTAATTCATCAAAAAAGTGTCAGCCTGATTATATGTAAAATAATCAGAGCAGGAGTTTTTGGAGCCCCTTACATTTTTCTATAATCGTAACTATGGTAAACAATATTTTGCACATCCTCATTCTTGACAAATGGCATGGTTTGGAGGCCTTTTGTTTCGATTATATGTGATAATGAATGTACTCACTAATGGCCCATCAGAACAAATTATGACACTTCCACCCATCACAAACTCCTATTAGGATAATTCATCATTGAGCAAAAATCATCTCCATCTCTTATTTCATGGTCCTGAAGATCATTTGAATATATTCTAGACTTATAAGAGACATTACACACAGACTATTTAATTCAGATCTGGGAACCTCAATACTCGAATGATGTAGACAGACTGGAGAGGGATTAGAAGAGAAAGACAACCATGGCCCGGAGGAGAAGCAGACAGCCGAAGATTACAAGAACTATACCATCCTCTCCCAGAGGAGGAGGATAGGAAAACCCTCCATAGCATTATTCCACTTTTGACCTCACAGAAGCCCTTCTGTGCAACATGGGCTCTGTGAGTGAGAAGGACGTGGTTGAGCACATTGTGGCATCAATCCCCTAAGGGCAACCCCAATGGACTCTGAACATTAATCTACCTGCTTCCCCTGCTGTGTACTAAGGAACTTCTCCCTTGAAGGGTTGGCTAGTAAATTACAGGGGAACTTTATCAGCATGGCTCCTACAGATTCTCTCACACTAAGAGAAGAATTAACTGGAAATTCTGCAAGCAACAAGATGTGGAATTTCCTTTCCCATATGTGGGAGTAATCCAGGTCGGAGATGAAAAGGCCCTAAACATTTCTGAGAGACGTTTTTTACCAAACTAGGCAAATAATAGGTAGCATAGTGTAAGGAATAATCCTGCCCAGTTGGGGCTTACCTAATGAGTCCCTTCCATCTCTCAACAAGAAAGCACAAGAGTAAAAAAGTTCAAGTGCAAAGTAACCATCATTTTTTACCCTTCAGTTTCTTCAACCGCTTTTGATAAGTTTTCATTTGTTTAAAGCAGTGGTTCCCAAACTTTAGCAACCTGTGGAACCCCTTTCACCAAAATTTCAAGTCTCACGAACCCCATCCTAAAAAGGAATATTTCCAGGGATTTTCTCCTTTACCTGAGTATAAATTATAAAAGCAGTGATCTTGGAAATATAAAATTTGTTTTTATGACATGCTTATTACACACTATTTATTATTATTTATTATTTATCATTACAGTATTTTTATTACATTATGAAAACAGCAACACTCTTCCAAGATCTCACTTTCGTAGCTTGTATCACTTTGAATAAGCCTGTTATAAGACAAGGCTCCTATGTTTCATCAAGAAGTATCAGATGTGAAACAGCATGAAGGTATCTAAGAAGCCAACTCAAAGAGTTCTTCTTATACAAGTATTCAGGTCTTGAGCAGTTCAAGCAAACAACACACGTTACAACAAAGTTTAAACTTATTGTTTTTAAAACTATTATGAAGAACACTAGCTGCCTACTTAATTTTAAAAACAGCAAAAAATATCCACCTCCCATTCCATTTCTTATAAGGAGTCTTGAAGTTTAAATCTCCTCAGTGTGATAGATTCCCGTGCTGTCCGGGGTCCCTAAGGACAGCTCTGTCCGCCATTAGGGAATTTTTCCCCGAGAACCCCCTGTAACATTTCGCGAACCACTGGTTTAAAGAGTTTATTCTATAACAGCATGTTAAGCATCTTATCATTTGCTGACTTTATTCAAATACTCACAGTGAAATTATAGATAATTCAGTAACAATAAATGATATTTAGCTCTGCTGGACTTCAGTGTGTACTTCAAAAACATGAACCTCACATTACAGTTGCTGCCTTTTCATCATGAATTTAGTAAAATACAGTTCTCGTATATCCCTTGAAAAGTTAAAGAACTTACCTAATAATAAGAGAGTCTCGGCTATAGCCACCATCATATTCTGTAGTTTCTTCTAGTGCTTGAAAGTCTAGATTCTGTAAATGTAAGACATTTTATCACCACCCATAATTGTATCTTTGGGATAAGAAAACCAGCAATTTGTTTTGTTGCACATTCCAGATTTCTTACCCTACTTCCACAAATAAGTAATTCAATTTCCTCTGGTCTAAATAAATATTTCAGTGGAGACTCATTGGTCACCATATGGAATCCTCTCCGAAAGGCTTTGAACTGCTTTTCTACTGATTTGTTGAGAATGTAGTCCGCATACAGATTGACAAATTCCTGTAAGAAAACAACCCCAAAACATATTTAATAGTTAAAAGCCAAACCCTACCCTTCAAAAAACGAGATACACCCAACAAGACATTTTGGTCTAATGATTTAATTAGGGAAAGCAAGTATTTCATGGCATTGTATAAATTTGTTTTCTCATAACTGGAACCAAGCCAGAGTGTACTGCTGGACTTGGCCCACTTACAATCAATCATAGAATACAGAATCATAGAATATCAGGGTTGGAAGGGACCTCAGGAGGTCATCTAGTCCAACCCCCTGCTCAGAGCAGGACCAATCCCCAGACAGATTTTTGCCCCAGATCCCTAAATGGCCCCCTCAAGGATTGAACTTGCAACCCTGGGTTTAGCAGGCCAATGCTCAAACCACTGAGCTATCCCTCCCCCCAATCTCAGAGGCAGCTGAGCTATGACTGGACAATTCCGTCAACTTCACATGTACTGAAATTTTTAAACAAATTATCCACATGCACAAACAAAATAGTCCAGGTGGATTCCTCCCAGTTGGTGGACAACTTCATTTGAGAAACCAAGTTTATGAGCAAGGAAAAATTCTCTTTCTCCTACACAAACATCCACCAATCTGGAGGACTCTGGTAGGACACAGCAAGCAGTAAATAAAGTTTAAGTCATCACAAACAATGGTAGGATTCAAAATCTAACACAAAAGCTTACTTCTACGGGTATTAACATTTTATGTAGTCTAAATCTGTATGAAATCTAAGCCCATTCAGCAGCAAGTTACAACGGAAGGAGAGAGTAGATGATCTTTTGGCCTGTCACATTTTCCTATAAGATTATGCTCAGATGCTGAGTCCAAAATGTGTTTGGAGAGATATACAATGTGAAGTCTGGTATGCACATTTCAATTTACTAGTTTTATAGCCTGTTTACGCAGCAATCTGTATATACATAACAGAATCCTGAATAGATATCTAAGTTAACAGTTGATTGTAAACAGCAAACATTAAAAAGGAGTCTTAAATATTTCTGACTTGTTATACATAAATGTGTGTGTTACAGCAAATGTATTGTATCTTCAACTGGTGCTCTCAAAGTCATACATGCAAGAGAATTTTAGAAAAGTGTTTTCTTCTGCTTCTTAACCAAATTGGACTATTAGAATTTTAAATTTAACTATTTCTTTATCTCTAGCTGAAATTAATGTTTTAATCACATACCTAGAGAAATTCTGAGATACATAGTAATGACAAAGATCATTCCACCATTAGAGTGCCATGTGAATTACCTTTCTGTTTTCATTTGTAATAGGGATTTTATCTCCATTTTCCTTTAAATCATGCATCATTGGATTGCCGAAGAGATCCGTATGAGATATTTGGAAAGTTATCATCATATCATCTTCCACACTTCCCTCATACTGTAACAAGTCTCTTAAACTCTGATAAAGAACCTAATAAAATAAAAAACATTTGATGATAGAGTTGTAAAATGTAAAGTTCCACTATATATGACCAATGTTAATCAGAGTACGCCTTTAGATACTGACTGTCCAAAAACATACTTGGATTGGTCAGCTATATCTTTTGGGTCAGGTCACAACTTTGTACCAAATCCCAATTGTTCATGATTGGGACACAATCACCAGAAGTGCCAGGAAAATGTGTGCGCACATAATGTGAAGAGGAGGAAGTTGAAGTGTTGCTAAATATTTGACCCTCACTTTGAAAAATAAGCACAAGTTAGGGTCAGTACATGCACAGTATAGGTGGAATTTTAAAAAATGAATGTAAGTTGTTTTAAGGGGTTTAGGGAGCCTTCTGAGTCCCTGTACTCAAGCAGTAATAAGCCCTGCACCTCTGAGGAGCCCCCTAGTAATACCACTCAGCAGCAGCAGGGGATGTGCAGGCAGCAGCAGTTTAAGGACTCCCACTAGGGGACAAAGGTATGAGCCTCTCAGGGATGCAAACTGAACGTCAGAGAAAGTCAGAGTGCTCTTTAAATGGAGAAAGTGTAGTGAACTTTCCCCATATACTTATTGTAAGTTTTAGCTGCAATCCTCATCGTCTCACCAGTTGTCTTCCTCCTATGCCCCACAAACACTTTCAAATGTACCATGTTAGTAAACACTGATTTAGGAACCACTGCCTTTTAAACAAGATCTGGCTCTCTTGCCCTCTGAATTCTGGCTGTGGTACTCAACAATGCCTAACGTGGCCTACTTTGAATTGTATACAGTTTTAAGACTCAATCAGCATTTAAATATCTTGGTCTGTTTAATGGCGTCTATGAAGGGTGATTTTAAAGCAGGGGTGGCAGAGTAAGGCAACTGTGGAAGAGGAATGGAGGGAAGAGGTAAACTGAACTTTTAAATCCACCCGTTCTCTTCCCACAAACATGAGACTGGTCGCCCCACATTTTGTAGCCTCTTGACAAATCTGAATTCACTTGTTACTAAAAATAAAACTAAACTGGGAATCTGAAAGAGCTCAATTTTGTTATTACAATCAAAAATGAGTTTAAAGTAGCTATTAGCCCTCAAACTACAGCTGAAAGAGTGGCCTGAGTTGGCATACTGTCGTCAGGAAAAGCAATTTAAACAGACCAGGGAATCTATAAAAAATTAAGTTATTTTTTCTAATATAGTAAAATAAAAGGCATTTATAATAACCTTTATCCTATTCACTTTCTCTTTCATTTCAGTGGAAGGATTTATTGCATAGCTCTTACAAATAAAAATGGAAAAATTACCCCAAATTAATTTAAATAAATCATTCTAACAGCAATAAAACACACTAGGTTGCATGTTAGAAAGCTATTGGTGTTCTTTGGATGGTTGAAGGCACAGGACCAAAATACGTGAGATGTGCTTTAACTGTTAACTCACACGTATTTATTGTGGCTTATTGCTATTTTACAGCCATCAGCAAAAGAACTCTCCCCTCCCCTTTATCTCTATAGTTTTTAAGAAGGTGAGACAACAAAAAGCATGTGAGAAAACTCATAATTGCTTCAAGAATTTGTGAATAATCCCCATCTGCCACAACTGCCTTTCACTTAAAAAAAAGTTAACAGAGTCACTACAGCATAGCACTTCCATGGGAATTTTTAAGAAGTGTTGGTCAATAATATTCTCATTTTACAGACTGGTTTATTGTGGCACAGAAGGTTAAGTGACTTGTCCACATTCATGCAGCGAGGCAGAAACAGGACCCACATACTATTGCTAGCCAATGCATACTCCTCCAAATTAGACGTACTGGTAGCATTATGTACCAATCCACACATTTGAACAAATAACCCTATAATGTTTCCACTAACCTAACAGGGCATTTCACTTTTACCTATTCTGACAGTAAGCTTGTGTTGAAATCAAATCTTAATTAAATGAACATACATTTTCCACAACCTGTAGTAATAAATTCAAGTAACACAATGAACTTACAGGGTGAGAATCTGCCAGATCACGGAAAGTTCCTTTTTTGCCCATTAGCTTCCTGTAGACAACCATGGGAAAATGTACATCCAGTATACAGTTATTGTAAATAGCCAGACCCAGTACTATGCCAATCAGTGTAAACTGACCCTCCGTTTCAAAAGAGGATGGGTTAAACCAAAACAGTTTTGTAGACTCATCATATGTGAACATACCTATAAGAAATGGAATTTAAATGATTACTTTTATATTTAGAAAAACAAAAACGTAGAGCAAACATGAAGTTTAAAAATCCACCTTCTAAATCCATCTGCACCAGATATACATGTAAAATTACATTTTAAATTTAGAATTGTATAATTTACCAAAAACATTACATATTCATAGCATGAATTAATTTTTCCGGTTTTATAAATTGTGATGCTCACAGCCTATAAGAACACGTATATCAGTTATAAAGCCACACATTTATAACCAATCTCCCAAAGTTTCCCAGCAATGGGACGGCACCCACCTCTCGCGAGTGCCTCCTCGTTGAGGACGTATGCCTGCAGACTCTCAATTTGTGCTGACCCTTGTCAGTGGTTTCTCAGGAGGATTTTCAACAACTCAGCCCCCAAGCCAACTCTCTCTCACAGTCTGTATGTCAAACAGAACAGACCTCTTCCAGGGTATACAGTCCAACAGGTGCCTATCCCAGTACCCCTCTGTTGGTATCTCTATAGCCCTCCCCAGACTTAGTCCTTAAATAGTCCCAGGCCTGGTATGGGGCCATACCCCCAGGGCTTGCTCCCTGGACACAGTCTTCCTGCAGCCCTCACTGGGCTCAGTCCTTATTCAGTCCCAGCAGCCAACCAGGAGCTCCTTCTTGCTCCCCCAGTCCCTGCCAGCAACTGATCTGTCTGTGGTCCTGCTGCTCCTTCAGCCAGCCAGCCAGGAACACAGTCCTCACTCCTTCAGCTCCAGGCAGCAACTGACTGACTCTGACCCTGCAGTTCCTTTTATGAGAGTCTGCTGGGCTCCGATTGGCTGCTTCCCCACAACCACTCTAGGCTGCTTGGAGGACTTCTTTTCTGCTCCTCTCTGGGATGGGGTATGGTAGGACCGTGAGGCCTCCAGCAGGAGCCTCTGGGCCTAGTGGACCCCATTACATTCCCCAAATCACAAAATAAGGTATCCCACTCAAGCAACCCCCCGCTGACAAAAGCTGAAGGCCAACAAATTCTAGCTCACTTGGACCAACAGGGTAAGTGAATTCCAAATCCAGGGTTGAGGCCCAACAAAAGTTGGCCTGCCTGCAGGAATTTAGAGTTATAGAAGTATCTTAGTAGATCTCAACTAGTGGAATGGTGCATAGAGAGAGAAGCAGTCTTTAAAGGGACTGTCTATATGTGGAATTACTCCAGAACAGCTATTCAGGAATAACTCCATATGTGGACTCTCCTTAATCCAAATTAACTTTCAAGAGTAGACAAGCCCTCAGACAGCAAGGCAATGAACTGGAAACCACAAGTAGTTTTTGGAACACAAGTATATGTTCCCTATGAGACATATTACTAAGTAAAGTGAGAGGCTGCATTCTGCTTTCTGAATTCACTGAAGTTTCCAAGTGGTCTTCCAGACAACCACTGCAGCAAAAATGGTGACATGTACTTTCTGTAAATTGAATGACGAGTTAAAACATAGAATAATGAGAAACTCTTGCAGTGTTTGCTGTTCTGATGGGGGAATAATTTCGAACACTAGTTTATCCGAATCCATATTCATAAGATATCACAGATAATGCAAAAAGTAAAAGTTAAGACAGAAAACACACTAAGATTGTGACAAAACAAGGGAAGCAATGAGAGCCACTGTAAAGGATGAAGATTGTTTTTAAAAGATACTGCAGTCTTGTCATAATTAACCTAGACCCCAGCACAAAAATTTACTTATTCGCTTCTCCTTTACCAGAATGATTTTTGGTAACAAGCCTAATAGTTTTTACTCATCCTTCACTTTCTTCATGATTTCAATTTTACACGGCTGTTTTAAATTAATTTTTAAACAGATTTAATATGCAATAGGTAAAAACTCATTTATACTAATTTCCTGATAAACACTTGTTTATTTTTATGACACGTATTAGAGTACAAAGTTTTCAAACATCCTAAAGTCTACTTTTGAGATTTTTCCTGCACTCCCATTGAAACACATCCAGATGTTCTTCAAATTCACAGAAGCGACATCTTACACATATAGTGTCCTAACTGTGATGCTATAATGCATGTTACCTGTGGAAAAAAATGTAAAACAAAAGCAAGTAGAAGACTCTGAAATTATTTAGTTGTATTTCCTGTTGAAGGATATATACAGAATTGCATTATGAAAGCAAAAAAATTTTCTCATCGAGCCATACCATTTCTCATATGTATTCTGAACACCAACGAGTCATGCCTAGTTTAAATCCAATGAAAACTGAACATAGAGACAAGTCTAAAGTTATCCAGTATAAATTTCTGAATAAAGGGAATTAACGGAAATACTTACCGACTCTCATCTATGCTGTTGAATACAATTTCAAATCTCCAGCGCTACTATATGTCCATGCTCAGAAGATAAATGTGCATTTCTAATCTATTTATCTAAATTATATGTTTATTTCATACCTAAAAACTACAATAAGAACTGTAAGGTCACAAAGTAAAATAGCTGAATTAGGAAATTACAAAATTAAGGTAGACCATGCAACAAACCTTAATTCTGTCAGGTTGAGCCTAGGTATATATTTTCCCATAGGACCCCCTGTCCTAATTCAGAGCCTGATCCAAATCCCATTGTAGTCAAGCCATCAGTGCACAGCTTGGAGAGTGAATGAGTCTCATCCTGTCTCATTCACTACAGAAGTTGGAAGGAGCGTAGCAAAACAAGATCCAAGACCTGAGTTCCATTACCAGTGCTAAGACAGATTCCCTTTGGGACCTTGATCAAATCATTTTCTGTGTCTCTCTGCATCAGTTTCCTCATATACAAATTGAAGATACTACCTACCTCTCAGAGAGCCCTAAAGCTAAACTAACTGGTGTTTGTAAAGTGTGATGAGTTTCTTCAGTGGAATGCAGTGCAAAAGTACAAGGATGTATCACCATGTTTCACATTCAAATCAAAGACTTATACAATTCCTGTACTACCTTCATAATATACTTTTCCTATGCAAGAGATGTTTGGATAATTTCATCCATTTTAATCCTTTACTATCTGCAATGATTAAGCTACTATGGCTGCAGATATCTGAAACCTGGTACACATCAGTGGTTAAGATGTATAAACCACAGTAAGCAAGGCTTAAAGTATCCAGAGTCACATGCACAAGGACAAAAAAAACACAGAGTTTGAGATAAATCTGCTGCCTCGAGTCCTGGACAAACCAGGAAGGTACCAGAAGTTTAGGTTGGACATTAACCACCCTGACAGTTAGGAACTTTTTCCTAAACACTGGAATAAATTGCCTAGGGAGGTTGTGGAATCTCCATCTCTGGAGATATTTAAGAGTAGGTTAGATAAATGTCTATCAGGGATGGTCTAGACAGTATTTGGTCCTGCCATGCGGGCAGGGGACTGGACTCGATGACCTCTCGAGGTCCCTTCCAGTCCTAGAATCTATGAATAAGTTTGCTATATTAAGGAACTGTAACACTTTCATATATACACCTGCTTTATGTGGAGTGTGCACAAAATGGGTATAGCCACGATTTTTTTTTTTTTATAAGAGTAACTGATTTTGCTAGCTATCAGAAATTTGTGCTTTATTAAACTACAAAATTCTATAAAGACTTCAAAGTTTAATAATGACTTAACTTGCTCCTATCAAATTAAGGAATATTCCAACTCAAAAGTTTCTAGATATCACAATTACACATGAAAGTTTTTTGTTACCATATTAAAGGTTTTAAAAGGCACAAAGCACTTAATTCCCATTAACTTCCTTGTTACTTCCCATTGTCTTTGAAAAACTCTCTAAATGTTTGCTAAATAAAAAACAATAACCTACAGATTTCTTGCACTGATTTCATAAAAAGGGATAAACAGGAGAAAATCTTCAATCTAATGTATACGTGATGGTGATATGAATGCAATCCTTTTTGGTTGCTGTAGTTTTATTGTATGTACAACATGGAATATGACAAATTAATTGAAAATACATTTCACTTAGAGGTGGGCGGGCCAGGCTGACACCTCTAAAAAAGGGAAAGAGTTAGGTATCTCACTGCCAGCTCTGATGCCTGCCAAACCCAAATGCTCCCCAACAGCAGTGTGCTCTCTGCCCTTCTGACTTGGCTAGTAACGACTTAGAGATGCATTCTTCCCTCCTTGAGGTGCCTTTAGGGTTGCTGCTGGCACTGGAAGCTTGTTTATAGGCAGTTTAGCTGCTGACCCCATCAATGCTGATTGTATAGACAACCGCCTAACAAAAAGGCAGGGACTTTTTTTCCATTTAAAGGGGGGGTGGGAAGAGTTGGATTTCAAAACAAGCTCTATTTACTTTTCAAAAGTGTGAATTTAATGAAACAAGACATCCTTTCAGAGGAAGATTTTTAACACTCAAATATATATCTTCACTGAATAGGTCATAAAGGGCACGAAATAAGTTCACTGAAATGCATCAGATACGGAAAGACTTCCTGAAATGTTTTAATTTAAAAACTTTGTGCACAATAGGTATAAAAAAGTGGTTATGTATAAACAGTTCTAATTGTAATTGGTATGTTGAGACATCATTTTAACTCCTTTCCTACATTATGCACTATAATAGTGAAACTGAAAGCACTCAAAAATGTTTATTTTCTATTTATGTTATCTACACATTTCATTATTCTGACCTTTGACAATGAAAGCAGACTAGCCAATTTCACGTTTGTTTCTATTCAATTTCACTTTCAAGTTCTTATACTGTAGCACAATGATTTGTTACCCAAATATTCTCCTGTTATAGCACAAACTGTTTTGATTACAATTTTTAGAAGATTTTGGGAGTCTCTAGGGATCTTTTAAATTTTGTACACCTCTACCCCGATATAACGCGACCCAATAGAACACGGGTTCACATACAACGCGGTAAAGCAACGCTCTGGCGGATCAGCGCGTCAGCTCCCACCCATGGCGCTCCGCTTCCCGCCACTGGTGAGTGTGGGGAGGTTGGGGAAAGGACGCCCCCTGTACTCACCTGCAGCGGGAAGCGGAGCGCCGCGGATGGGACCTGGCGGAGTGGAGTGGGCTGGGGCCGGGCTGCTCCGCTTCCACCGCTGCCGGTGAGTGCGGGACCTTTCCCCAACCCCCTGCCAGCGACACGGCTGGGACCGGGGCAAGGAAAACAGAGCGGGCTGGGGCCGCGGCGCTTCACTTCCCACCGCATGTGAGTATGGGGGGCATCTTTTCCCCAACCTCCCCGCACTTACCAGCGGCGGCGGAAGTGGAGCACCGCGTCTGGGAGCTGGCGGAGTGGAGCAGGCTGGGGCCGGACTGCTCCGCTTCCCGCTGCTGCCGGTGAGTGCCTGTCAGGGGGCGGGGGTGTGTGGATAAGGGTCGGGGCAGTCAGGGGACAGGGAGCGGTGGGGTTGGGTAAAGGGTGGGGTCCTGGGGGTGATTAGGGATGGGGGTCTCTGGAGAGGGCGGTCAGGGGACAAGGAGCAGGGGGGCCAAAGCAAGTTCTATATAACGCGGTCTCACCTATAGCATGGTAAGATTTTTTGGCTCTGGAGGACCACATTATATCGGGGTAGCGGTGTATAAGCTTTTCTCTAAAAGACTAAATTTGGGGACAAACTGGACCCAAGTATCCCTTTAACATTTCTTCCTCCTCCTCATCCCTACATAACAATGTCCTTCTGTTATACTCAATTTTAAAGGGGAATGGTCAACTTGATAAATCATACAAAGTTATAATTGTAAGAAACTAGACAGACTTTTTTCAAGTTCATTTTATGTTTTTGGCATAGAACTGTGTATCATTGGTTTCACTGTATTCCCTATAGTCAGTGCTCTTATCTGAGTGGCTCTTTCACACGGCAGTGGAGAGTGAAGGGAGAACAGGACAGAAAAACCATTTTAAAAAAACCACACACCAGGAAAATGTGATTGCTAAACCACAAAAACTGGTAGGGGAACTCAGGAGCAGGTGTAATACCAGAAACTACTGCTAACTTTTCTTTGTAATTGATTTGCATTTGACAGTATTTCTAAACTTTCAACAAAAATTTAAATCAGCATCACTACTTGAGAACAAAGTTAACCCTTTTTTATATTGCCAGATTTTGAAAACTTGAAAAAACCCCACCTCTTTATACAGGTTTGCCTTGGACACTTGGTAAGAGATATTTTTATTTCTCAGGTTTGATTACTAGCCCTAGAAGCAAAACTTGAAGCCCAGGGGGAAGCCGAGAGAAGGTTTAGATTCAAATTTTCAGAAGTGGGTAAAAATAAAAATATTGTATTATTTGTTAGTGATCTAAATGTATAAGTGGTAACTTTCACTTGTGGCAAAAAGTATTGCAGTCATTCCAGTTGTCCTTAGGATGGTGGCTCTGTCAGATGCAGGATCCCAAACTGAATCAGATGCCCTTGTGGCTCAATAAGGGATACAGAGAACCCTCAGAAAAAGAGTACCTAGAATTAGGGAGTAGCTATGGGGAGAAACTGTGTGTGCATGCACTTCAGAGAGATGAGGGAGTTATTAAATTGCATACCAATATCAGGGTTGAAAATTTCCTCCACAACCAGTTGAAAAAACTCTTTGGAAACACCTCCTTCGTCTACCCCTTGCTCTCCTTCAAATTCCACGTATAACTGCTTCTTCAAGTCTGCAGGATTTTCCATGGCAATCATCTCTAGCTATTGGGTCAATACAAACATGTCATTAGTATACCCATTTTACTAGAAAAAAAATGATGAATACAGAACAAATACAGGAAAAATTGAGAAACAGAAAGGCAGGTAGATGTCACCCACAAGTGTAAATATGGGAAGGTAATGAACATCCAGAATCTGACTAAGTGCATTCTGTAAGCCATGAATTTGGGGCAAAGGGGCAGAGGTATCTAGTGAGGACTATCATATCTTACCAATAGCACAAATGCATTAGTGCCCTGTCTCTTATTTTCAGTATTTTTATTAAAGTTTTTGTTTTTGAGATCGATAAGACAGTGTAAATAGAAAACAGAATAAAATACAAATAAACTAGAAAATTTATCAATGGAATAATTAAAAATTGGGATTACCATTAGAGTCAACTGAATATCATTTAAGTGTTTGAATATGAGTAACTCATTGTTCTTCACATTAAAAGTTTGGTGAAAGAATTATTTAAACAAATGTCCTAACACTTTCCCCCCTTTATATCAGTTTTCAGTGAAAGGAATCATTATATTCAACAGTGTGCCATATCTATATCTAGCTGCATGCAAACTGTCTAGTCTTCTGGATTACCTACACTGGAGTTTTTTGCACCAGGGGATGCACACCATTATGCAGATGCATGAAAGTAAGCAGTAGCTTGCTGTGGTACATCTTAGTGTAGTTTCCACACCTGCATAAATCACTTTTTACACCAGTGCAGTATGTTTACACTGGGGGTTTGCATCAGTACAACTATACTGAGGTTCTCAATAGTGTTACGAAAAACTCAGCATAGACAAGCCCTTACAACAAGAAAAATTAAAGTATCGATTGCCATACAACAAACATGTATGCCAGTAATACTTGCCTATAATCCCAGATATTCCAAATTACACCAGTCACTCAGTTTGCTGATCAACCACAGGAAAAAATCCTAAATTTAATTATTATTGAAATGATTTACAAGGTAGTAGTGCCTAGAGGCCCTAGCCCAACTGTGCTAGCCTCCCCTCCCTGATGCCAACCACCCTGCCCCAAACATACCCAAGACCACCTTCCCAGTCCCTATAAACTTACATAAAGATAGGGGGAAGGACAAGGTAACAGTGAGAAAATTACAAGTGTACTGTGATCACAGCTTAAGAACTGCCTAGCCATTGTCAAATGTTTTCTAGGCATCACGGAAGAGATGAATGTTACTCCTGGGAGAATTCTGCACCAAAAAATTAAAAATTCTGCCCACAATATTTTAAAATTCTGCAAATTTGTCAAAATAACAATATAATCATGCCAGTTTCAATTATTTTGGTCATTTATTTCAAAATACTTGTCAACAAGTATGTCTGTAACAATACTGACAACGTGACTGGGGACTCCTTACTGAGGAGGTTAGACAGGCCTGTGACCAGGGCGGACCCAGAGAACAGAAGGGTGTGCTGTCTACCGGGCGCTAAGATACGGGATGTGGACCTGCGGTTGAAAAGGATCCTAAAAGGAGCAGGTAAGAACCCCTTGATCATCCTTCACGTAGGAACGAATGACACGGCTAGGTTCTCGCTGGAGAGAATCAAGGGAGATTATGCCAGGCTGGGGAAGACGCTTAAGGAAATCGAGGGTCAGATCATCTTCAGTGGGATTCTGCCTGTTCCTAGAGAAGGGCAGCAAAGGGGTGACAGGATTGTGATGATAAATAGCTGGCTAAGGGAGTGGTGCTATAAGGAGGGCTTTGGGATGTATGGCCACTGGGAGGCTTTCGGGGACAGAAAACTGTTCTCACGGGATGGACTTCACCTAAGTAGGGAAGGAAATAGACTTCTGGGAGGGAGGCTGGCTCATCTCATCAAAAGAGCTTTAAACTAAGAATTTGGGGGAGACAGTTGGGAGATGTCCAGTTAATCTCCACACCAGATTATAACATTGAGAGGGAGGACGACGAGATAAGAACGGATATAACCGGGGGGAAGAGATTGGACATAAGGAGGAGGGGGGGATGGATACTAGACAAATAGGTCATACTGGCGGTATGGTGTCCGTACCAAATTGGATAACAAATGTGAGAAAGGCTAAACGGCATAAATTAAGATGTTTATACACCAATGCGAGAAGTCTAGGTAACAAAATGGAGGAATTGGAGCTCCTGGTCCAAGAAATGAAACCGGATATCGTAGGAATAACCGAAACGTGGTGGAATGGTAGTCATGACTGGAGTACAGGTATGGAAGGGTATGTGCTGTTTAGGAAAGACCGGAACAAAGGTAAAGGTGGGGGAGTAGCATTGTATGTCAATAATGAGGTAAACTGTAAAGAAATAATAAGTGATGGAATGGATAAGACGGAGTCTGTCTGGGCAATACTCACATTGGGTAAAAGAACTACTAGAGCCTCCCCTGGGATAGTGCTTGGGGTGTGCTATAGACCGCCGGGATCTAGCCTGGATATGGACAGAGAACTCTTTAATGTTTTTAGGGAAGTAAATACTAATAGGAACTGTGTAATCATGGGAGACTTTAACTTCCCGGATATAGATTGGGGAACAAATGCTAGTAACAATAATAGGGCTCAGATTTTCCTAGACGTGATAGCTGATGAATTCCTTCATCAAGTAGTTGCTGAACCGACGAGGGGGGATGCCATTTTAGATTTGGTTTTGGGGAGTAGTGAGGACCTCGTTGAGGAAATGGTTATAGGGGACAACCTTGGCTCGAGTGATCATGAGCTAATTCGGTTTAAACTAAATGGAAGGATTAACAGAATTAAATCGGAGACTAAGGTTTACGATTTCAAAAGGGCTAACTTTAATAAATTAAGGCGACTAGTTACGGAAGTGGATTGGACTAACATATTTATGAATCTAAAGGCGGAAGGCGCCTGGGATTATTTCAAGTTGAAGTTGCAGGAGCTGTCGGAGGCCTGTATCCCGAGAAAGGGAAAACGGTTCGTAGACAGGAGATTTAGACCGAGCTGGATGAGCGAGCGTCTCAGAGGGGTGATTAAGAAAAAACAGAAAGCGTACAAGGAGTGGAAGATGGGAGGGATCAGCAAAGAAACCTACCTTATTGAGGTCAGAGCATGCAGAGATGGAGTGAGAAAGGCCAGAAGCCGTGTAGAGTTGGACCTTGCGAGGGGAATTAAAACCAATAGTAAGAGGTTTTATAGCCATATAAATAGGAAGAAAACAAAGAAAGAAGAAGTGGGACCACTGAAGACTGTAGATGGAGTGGAGATTAAGGATAATCTAGGCATGGCACAATATCTAAACGAATACTTTGCATCGGTCTTTAATGAGGCTAATGAAGGGCTTAGGAATAGTGGCAGCGTGACGGATGGGAATATGGGGGAGGGGGGGTTGACATTACCGTATCCGAGGTAGAAGCCAAACTCGAACAGCTTAACAGGACTAAATCGGGCGGACCGGATGATCTTCATCCGAGAATATTAAAGGAACTGGCACGAGAAATTGTAAGCCCGTTAGCGATAATTTTTAATGAATCTGTAAACTCGGGGGTGGTACCGTTTGCCTGGAGAATAGCTAATGTGGTTCCTATTTTCAAGAAGGGGAAAAAAAGGTGACCCAGGTAACTATAGGCCTGTTAGTTTAACATCTGTAATATGCAAGGTCTTGGAAAAAATTTTGAAGGAGAAAGTAGTTAAGGACCTTGAGGTCAATGGCAATTGGGACAAATTACAACATGGTTTTACGAAAGGTAGATCGTGCCAAACCAACCTGATCTCCTTCTTTGAGAAAGTAACAGATTTTTTAGATAAAGGAAATGCGGTGGATCTAATATACCTCGATTTCAGTAAAGTGTTTGATACGGTACCGCATGAGGAATTATTGGTTAAATTGGAAAAGATGGGGATCGATATGAAAATCCAGAGGTGGATAAAGAACTGGTTAAAGGGGAGACTGCAGCGGGTCGTACTGAAAGGTGAACTGTCAGGTGGGAGGGAGGTTACCAGTGGAGTTCCTCAAGGTTCGGTTTTGGGTCCGATTTTATTTAATCTATTTATTACTGACCTCGGAACCAAATGTAGGAGTGGGCTGATAAAGTTTGCGGATGACACAAAGTTGGGAGGTATTGCCAATTCGGAGAAGGATCGGGATATCCTGCAGGGAGATTTGGATGACCTTGTAAACTGGAGTGGGTTGTAGCCCACGAAAGCTTATGCTCTAATAAATTTGTTAGTCTCTAAGGTGCCACAAGTACTCCTGTTCTTTTTGCGGATACAGACTAACACGGCTGCTACTCTGAAACCAGTAATAGGATGAAATTTAATAGTGAGAAGTGAAAGGTTATGCATTTAGGGATGACTAACAAGAATTTTAGTTATAAGCTGGGGACGCATCAGTTGGAAGTAACGGAAGAGGAGGAGGACCTCGGAGTCCTGGTTGATCGCAGGATGACTATGAGTCGGCAATGTGACGTGGCCGTGAAAAAAGCTAATGCGGTCTTGGGATGCATTAGGCAAGGTATTTCTAGTAGGGATAAGGAGGTGCTGGTTCCGTTATACAAGGCACTGGTGAGACCTCATTTGGAGTACTGTGTGCAGTTCTGGTCTCCCATGTTTAAAAAGGATGAACTCAAACTGGAACGGGTACAGAGAAGGGCCACTAGGATGATCCGAGGAATGGAAAACCTGTCGTATGAAAAGAGACTTGAGGAGCTCGGTTTGTTTACCTTAACCAAAAGAAGGCTGAGGGGGGATATGATTGCTCTCTTTAAATATATCAGAGGGATAAATACCAGGGAGGGAGAGGAATTATTTCAGCTCAGTACTAATGTGGACACGAGAACAAATGGATATAAACTGGCCATCGGGAAGTTTAGGCTTGAAATTAGACGAAGGTTTCTAACCATCAGAGGGGTGAAGTTCTGGAACAGCCTTCCGAGGGAAACAGTGGGGGCGAAAGACCTCTCTGGCTTTAAGATTAAGCTTGATAAGTTTATGGAGGGGATGGTTTGATGGGATAACGTGATTTTAGTCAATAGGTCAAT